CGGAGCCACCGCTGCTGTTGGCATGGAGTCCCCTGGGGCGCCGTTCTCTAGCCTGCAGTCAAGCTGAGAGATTGCCAGTGTTAACAGTTTTAATGCTTTAAAATTAGAGAAGCTTGAATAATTATCAAAGGCTCTTTCCAGCAGTCTGTGAGAAGGTTCCTGACAGTGACTAAGGAGTAAGACTGAGGTCCCAGGTGAAGACTGTGGAGCGCTGGAAAATTCCTCTGGCCCAAGTCAGGGGAGGCACCTTCCCCCTTCATCTGATGGGAGTCTGAGTAGGAACAGTCTCAGCTGTCGCAGGGCTTATGTGCCACTAGCGTAATGAAGGACAAGAAGAGAAGTCCCAGTGTAGCATTTTGAGCTTTCTCTTGAACTCAGGTTGTAAAGTAATAAAATCAGAAGTAACACAATTATGAGAATATAGAAAAGTACAATGTGTGATCAGAAATCACAGACAACAGTGAAGACTGGAAAAGTATTACTATAAAAGACGTACAGCATGAATCCCCTCAAATGCTTTCCTTCCATTAAATCATGCTCATCCCATCCCCCTTGCCACTTCTACAACAGTTCTGGAAGTCCTCTGTCATGAGTGTTTCTAGTTGCACTCCCTTGATTGACTTGATATCATAAACTGATTCAAAATCTTTACTCCTGAGGGCTGGGGATTTAGCTCAGTGGCAAAGCGCCTGCCTGGCAAGCACAAGGTCGTGAGTTCTGTTCCCGGTACCGGAGAAAAAAAAAAAAAAAAAAAAAATCTTTACTCCTCACGGCCATTTTGAATTTGGGGAAGACTCAGAAGTCTCACGGTGCCAGATCCAGTGAATGAGGTTGATGAGGGCAGAGTATGATGCCTTTGTATTGGATGACACAGAGCAGCAAGACTCACTGCATTTTTGATCACACCTAGTAAAGACATTTGTGACTTCCAGAATTGCTTCCGAAAGTGGCCAGGATGATAGAATAAGTGTTGGAAGCAAGGGAGAGTATTTTGAGGGTCATTAATAGCAAGGTGCCTCTTACTATAATAAAAAGAATTTTTAAAGTGAATATTTACCATATACAATGGTCACTCCTCATAAAATATTACCACTCACAAAATAAATCTTGTATCTATTTTTCCAACATATAATGGTAAAGATAGATATAGTTCACTGATATTTAAGATGTGTGAAGTTTTGTGTGTTGCTCTTTTTTTCCTTTATTACTATATTTTTATGTAGCTGCACTGCATTCTTTCAAACATATCTGAACATAATTTATTCAAACATGATCCTACTGGGCATTTTTATTGCTTCCAAATTCACTATGAGTAATATTTCTGTGCTATTTTGGAGGATAACTCTATACTGCCAGAAATTATATCAATCAGTCATAGTATTAACAGTATCTCTTTTAAAATTAACAAGAATTGCATACATTTATGACATACACACATGATGTTTTAAAATACATATGCACTGTAGAAAAGTTAAATCATATATTTTACCTTACATACCTCTGACTTTTTAGTGTGATGAGAACATCTGAAATCTGTACCAGCAATGTTCAGGTAAGAATATATTGCTATTAACTGTAGTCACTGTGCCGTACACAAGATCTCTGGAGCTCATCCCTCCTGAGTGGGAGTGTGTGTCCTTTGGCCAGTATTTCCCAATCCTTTCTCCCTGCTCAGCCTCCTGTAGTCACCATTCTACTCTACTTCTCTGAGATCTATTTGAAAAGATGCTACCTGTGAGTGAGATCCTGTGGTATAATCTCCCTCTTCACTGACTTGTGACATTTAACATAATCTTCTCCAGGTTCACTCACACTATTGAAAATTGTAGGGCTTTCCTTTATTTCTTAAGGCTGAATGGTATTTTTATGCGCATACTTCATTTTCTTCATCTTTCCCTTGGTGGGTGCATAGCTTTATTCGATATCTCGTCTATGGTTTGTAATGCTGTAAAGTACTTGGGAACACAGGTATGATTCTGACATGCAGCTTTCATTTCTCTTGAATATATACCCACCTAGCATGAATGGTGGTGTTATGCTTTGTGTCTTGGTGTTCCCCCAAAGCCACATGCAGTCATGGGGTGGCCTTTTAGAATTTATGATTGATTCATGGCCCAATGTTGGAATTGTGGATGTGAGCGGTACATCGCCCTGGGGCAGGTAGTTTGCACACAGTGTAAGGGAGGAAGAGGCTGCTTGCCACTGCTCCTCCTTTTTGTGCTTGCTGCTTTTGCTGTCTTCGGCCACCATGAACTGTTGCCCTCTGCCATGTGCCACCCTACCCTGGAGCCAGCCAAGTATGGACTGAAACCTCCACAAACTGTGAGCTAAATAAACCTTTCCTTCCTTAATTCTGGGTGTTGGGTATCTTGTCTCAGCAACGAGAGAAGAGTAACCACCGATACAGCTGGGTCGCATGGTAGCTCTGTGTTTTACCTTTTCAGGAGCCTCCATACAGTTTGCCATAATAGCTGTGCACGAGGCTTCCCTTTTCTCCGCATCTTCATGAACGCTTATGTTTTATTATTTTCAGAATTCCCACCCTGTGACGTGTGATGTTGTCCTTTGTGGTTTTGACTTACATTTCCCAGGTGATTAGTGGCAGTGAGGTCCTTGTTGTACACCTGCTGTCTGTCTGTACATCTTCTTTCCAGAAATGCCTACAGAGGTCCTTTGCCCATTTTTAAAGAGGATTGTTTGCACATTTCCTTTTGAGTTAATTGGGCTTCTGGGATATTTTGGATATTAAGTTCGTATCAGATTCACAGGTCAGGAATGCAGTCTCCCACTCTGCAGGCTGACCCTTCACTCTCTTGACATGGCCTTTGCTTTGCCTAAGGTCCTGAGTGTGACGCAGGCTCATCCATCCGTTTTTGCTTTCCTTACCTGCACATTTGAAGCTTCGGGTTCACGACTGCTTTTATTGAAACAAATACAATTCGCTGAGATAAAACAGTAGCCCTGATGGTGAGCACGGAGGCATCCGTGAGGGTGGTGCAGGCTTGGTTGAACAGAGTGCCCTCTACAGCTAATGAGTGGCACGCCGCTGCGGTGGAAATATGGAGACTGCAAGCCCAGCGACAGTCCATCTCTTCCTTTGTGTTTGATCACTCTCGAAATAGCTTATTAGACATCAGCATCCGGGGTAAGAGGATCGCGCCGTGCTGACCTACTCTCAAACCTCAGCTCCCCCACCCCATGGCTAATCATATCATTTGGCTTATTTCCTTTGCAGCACGTAAGTCATTTTCATTTTCTTCATATTTACTTATGTTTTCCTTCCTTAAATATCACATGGTCTCTGTGAGGCTGGGCTTTCGTTTTCTTACTCATGCCTGCATTGTTAATGGTCTGGCATGGTGCAGCTTTCTACATGCTCGATAAAAATGTCCTAAAATAATAATGCAAAATGTAGAAACGGAAATTTAAATGAATAGAGAGATACAGAAACTGGGGCCGGAACTGAGAACACAGAGTTATCAGAGTTGTTTTTGAATTCATATTCTAAATTTGTCTCAGTTTTGAATGTGGTCCAGAGGTTTAACCAAAGATTAATAATCATGAATTAAGTAGTTCAACACCTACAAATCATAACTGCCAGTGACTGATACGAAACTGAATGTTTGCACTTTTCACTTTCCAGAATAGTCCATGCTAAGGTGCCAGGGATACAGCTCAGTGGCTCAAGTGCCTACCTGGCAAGCACAAGGTCTTGAGCTCAATTCTTGGTATCCACCCCACCCTAAAATTTAAGCAGAACGGTCTATATTAGGTGCCTAAACTGTGATTTTCTCAAAATCATTTTCATATAACTCAAGTTACTCATGGAACTTGTTGAAAAGTAGGCTTCCTAGTCAGGTAAATCTGGACAATTGCACATACTTTACATGAGCAAAATAAGTATTTATGTGTTAAGTTTTGGCTGAGAATTCCTTTAGAAAAGGTTTTAGTTTTGCTTAACCTGGAACTTTCCAAGTTGGTTTGACTCTGAGTATGGATTTTCATTCCTCCGTGAGAGCCTAAGAAAGAGTGCATGTCACCCGTGAGACGTGCTGCCTTCATTCCCTGGAGAAGTCTCTTCCCACGTTGCCTGGGAGCACGTTTCCCCAATCGGCAGGGTGTGTGTTTGGCTTTGATCTTTGATCCACTGTTAGCTTCATACCTAACATGGATATCTTCATGTCCTTTCTCCTGGAGACGCTTTTCCTGTTTCCTCAACACCTACCCCGGGGTTTGCCAGGCAGAAACAGAAGTGGAATCCCTGCTTGTAACAGTGGGCTTGTCAGAGAGTGAAATATTACTGCACTCCTCTCAGTGTCAGAAGCCAGGCTGAGTGAAGCCCTGGAAGTGCTCAGACCTGATGTGTGTCTCTCAGTGCCTCACACCCCTGTCCCACAGTCACTCTGTTGTTGATGGTTACAACCTGAAAGCTTTGTGTTTGCAGATTAGCCCTGCAGCCAAGGCAATTCTTCATCTCACTCTAGGTGGATGGATTGCTGTTCTCTAAAGCAAATAGCTCTTCTCCTGTGAGATATATCTCTGAATTATGTCACTGGCCTTCTTTGGAATATGATAAACATTTGTGACAGGAACATACATCCTTCCTGAGACATTTCCTCAGCGGGGACTTTTTCAGTCCTTGCTTTTGAAAGATATTTATTCAAATGGGATGACGACCAGCTTCATTCTGTTTCTGGACCCACAGTTCCTTCACACACATTGTTTCTTGTCAGCTGCGATACTTGGCAAGGCTGCCTTTGCCTTCCTCCCTGTTTCCGAGATGCCAAGACTGGGTTTGTGTGTTTCTTTGGCTGTTAAAGAGGCAGAGCAAAGATCACAGCTGGCCTCTTCCTTCGCCGGCCTTGCTCAGTCACACATCTGTGTGCTGAGCCCCCTGGGGGTTGTGGGACTGACAAAGCCACAGAAGCCTCCTCACCGTTTCTTTTCATAGGACGATATCTATGAGTAATTTGGACTGTCTGTGTTTTCTCACTGCCTAGGGTTGGTGCAAATGTGCAGTTCTCCTGTGAGGACAATTATGTGCTCCAGGGATCCAAGGCCATCGCGTGCCAGAGAGTGACAGAGACGCTGGCAGCATGGAGTGACCACCGGCCCATCTGCCGAGGTGAGGTGCCTGGCCAGCCGTGGCCTAGTCGCTTCAGGGTGGGCATCTTTTTCCAAATGTTCGATGAGGCTTAAATGTAAAGCACTGTCTGTGGATAGAGACGACCTTGGCAGTAATGATGCGGTTAAAGAGAAATACTTTGTTGAGGTATGTTAGGAGGTAAACACCTCCAGGGCCATTAGTGTTTTCACATCTCAGCAGAGACACAGGCAAAGCCTCCACTGCACACTCACTCACATCCTTGCGGTGCCTTGGTGTCCCTCTCCCTAGGCACAGGATGCATGCATATGAATATGTGCTAGAGAGCCAGGTCCTTTGGAAAGTTCTGTGTGCCTGCCTGCGAATTGAGCAATTCTCTCCTTTCATTGCAATGAGGTTGAATTCTTGGGATTTCATTATCTGAGTGTTAAAGGAGTTTCTTAGCATGACTGTAAGCTGTCACTTTATGGATAACTATCTTAGTAGCCCTTGACAGTGCTGGCAAAGCAAAGTCTGTCACCATCATCAATACCTTCAAAGAAAATGCATAAAATCAGAAGTATTAATTTGTCTTTTCAGTGTTGTATATTAACTCGACCAGAAGTTTACAAATCATAATTATTATTATTATCATTTTTTTGCGGTACTGGGGATCGAACTCAGGACCTTGTGCTTGCAAAGCAGGCACTTGTGCCACTGAGCTATGTCCCCAGCCCTACAAATCATACTTAAACAGCAAAAAATTCTTTTGACTGGTGAAATGAGGGAAATATTAATAGATTTAAGAGAACACTAGGGCTTGGCTTTTGCAATTCATAAAATAATTTGTGCAAACTGGTATTTTCAAGGAGGAAAAAAAGCACTATAGTGAGGTTTCCTACATAACAATATGATTCTTTCTTTTGGCTTTTTAGAACAAATAGTTGTAAGATGTGCGGTGTTAGTTACAGCCTGTGAAGTGTAACAGTTTGCAGCTGTATTTCCAACTTTGTGTGAACGAATTCTACATGGCACCACAGTCCTTACGGACCCTGGGTGCCCAGGACAAGCAGCTGTACAAGGGAGCCTCCATCTGCCGAGGCCTGGGGGGGCGGTCTCCTATTCACAGAGAACTGCCCAGCCCTACTCCAGAAGCCCATGAGGCCGCGCTGCTCCAACCCTTACCAGCCAACCCGTTCCTACATTTTCTGACCCTGACCCAAATCACTCTGCTTTGGTGAGAGCTGCACCCATTCCTGGTTCCCATGAGTGGAGGGGACCCTCAGCCTCCTTTCTGTACGAGGTCACTGTCACTGTTTCCTCCACAAAAGAGCAGTTATTTATTCTTTCACAATCTTCTCACCTGCATAAACTGGAAATATGCTTTATTTTTGAAAAGTCTAAATTATAAAAGTGTCAAACATGGATTCTTGTAAATTTGTTACTCTGGAAGGGCTTCAGGGTGACATAAGCAGACACTTGCACACCTTTAGTTTTTATTTCTGGATCCACAGGGTTGGCTTCCTTTGTTCTTTCCATGGACAGAGCTAGGCCAAACCTCAGACACCCGTGAGAGCCCAGGATGCAGCGGGGAGGGCTCTTTAGGCCTGGTGCCATCTACCTGCTCCTCTCTTATGCAAACAGGAGGCTTTCTCTCTTCTTCCTCCTCCCCCTTCTCCTCCCCTCCCCCTCCCCCTCCTCCTCCTCCTCTTCTTCCTCTTCTTCTTCTTCTCCTTCTTCTTCCTCTTCTTCTTCTTCTTCCTCTTCTGCTTCTTCTTCTCCCTCTTCTTCTTC